TGAAATGGAGATCCCACATTTGGTCAGATGAATTACTTGCCCTGTGGGAACCATGAGATCTACAGGAAGCTTCTTCTGGTGGCATCCATCAGGGGCTCTCTGGTGAAGAGGAGTTTGAGATGAACCTTGGCACAAGGTCCTAGTAACCTTTAACAGTTCCTGAGACCCCTCTCCATTATAAACAGCCCCTACTTCCTCACCAGCCCTTTCCTTGTGGAAACAGGACATTTCCCTTTTATCCTCCTCCCAGCATTCCAAAGCCTGAGCTTCATGAGAAGCCATCAACTTTTGGCTTGGGGGTCAGATGGCTTCACCAGCCACATGCTGACAGGAACTAAAAATAAGCAGAGAAGGGGACCAAATAGACATGTGGATGTCAGAAATGAAACAGTTCACTCCAGGCTGGTCCTCAGGGCCACCCAGTTTGAGACACTTCCCAGAAATGTCTTGGAGGGCTCTGAATGGTGACCAGTAGGAGGCTCCTGCTTTTGCCATTGGGACAATGTTGTAAAAGGGTCTCAGGATGATCAGTGTGGGAGAATAAGGTGGATAGTGGAGGGTTAATATTTGGACAGGATCATTTTGGTGGCTTTAGACCAAGGACCAGGTAAGGAAAGGATGGAGATGAAAGAATAGAGCCTGAGGAATCCCTGCACGGAAAAGATTTTCTTGGCCATGGTTTATCTCTGAATTCTGAAGGGTATCGTAAACCTTCATTTTACCTGTGAGAGGATGCAGTGACTCTCAGGTCCTCTTGAGAATGAACACTGGACACCTTGTAGGACTGGCCACGTGCACAATCCCTTTGCTTTACTTCTCTGTATGTGAGATCAGGGAAAGAACAGCTGAGATTGCATTTTAGAGTCCAGCCTCCTTGGTACATGGGAGCATCCACATGGAAGGGATTTATGCCATGCATTTGGCTTCTATTCAGTGTTTCTCTGCCAAAGTTTCCCATTTACCTTGTGGGGCTTCTTGTTCCTGTTGCCAGGAATTCATTTTTTATTGGAGAAGGATTTGGGGTGGGGTGAAATCTACTTTTGTTTCTGGCTCCTTCCTCTCTTCCTAGCTCTTCCCACTTGACCAGTAATGAACACATATATTGATCTTAAACTCCCTTTACTGTGAAGACAAGAGGATGAAACAAGGAGACTATTCTTAGCCATTGGGCATTTCATTGTCCCCAAAAAGCAATTTGTTTGCATGTTTAAACAAAATACTTTGGCCCATGCTAGGCTCTAGCCTGCCTTGTCCATATTCCCATGGAGGGTAGGAGAGTGATTTTCTTGCAATGTGCTCACCTACCCCCTACCTGACTCAAAGCCCATAGTTGCCATGCTCACACCACCACCAGAAGGAAGTCTCCAAAAGACCCCAGGCTCTCAACACAAGGGTGGAAAGCCATTCCTGTGTGATACTCCCACTTGGAGCCCCTGAATCTTTCAAAGATATGGACTCTTGCTCTTAGAGAGGGAGGCAGGAAAGAAGGGTTTTCAGACATGAACCAGGCTTAGCAGCTGAAAAGGGAAGTCCAGCTCTTTATAAAGCTCCCCAGCTCTCACTTTGCATCTACTATTGTTGAGAGTGGGAACTTCTGAGGAGTACTAGATCATGGCTGCACTTAGGGACCAGAGAAAATTCTCTCTGTTGCTTTGCCTTTCTAAAACATAAGAAAGCCAGAGAGATTTGGTCTCCAGGGCATAGATAGGGGGCTCAGTCAATCAGTTGACTCAGCCTAAGCCATCTAGCTTGCAAGGGCAAGAGGGGCTTGGAAGTAAATCCAAGACCCATGACCTCCTCCTGGTCTTCTGGAGATGAGGTGTGATTTAGCTGTTGATGGGTATGGTGCTTGTCAAGTCCAACAAGTGCAGGTGGGTGCTTTCTCCGTTAGCTAACTCCTCACTGCATAAAACACATTGTGCTCCAGTGGTCCTCAGAGTGTGCTTCCTGGATCAGCAATGTCAACATCATCTGAGAACACAGAGGTGCCTATCCTCAAGCCTGAGATGGAGACACTGGGTGGTAATCTCTGGGTCAGGTGCCCAGGGATTTGTCCTTAAACTCTCTGGATGGTTTTGAGGGGACTGCTCACTGGTAACTGAGAAGGAGTTTGGGAACAGGATCTGCCTGCAAACTCGGCTTTTCACCAAGTGACTGGCTACTCTGGCACATCTTTGCATTCTGGATGTCATGCTGATCTCAGCACCTGCGGGAAACTTGGCTAGGCTTTCACCTCCTTTTAAAATAATACCAGCTATGATGAAAATGATATTTATCATATTTGCAATTTTGAATATGTTTATTGTATTACATTCCTGGGGAGAGGTGCAACAACAAATATCTGTTCACCTAGGGTAGGATACCAGTAACAGACCTAGGCCAGCTTGCAAACAAACAAACATTAGAGTTACAGGGATATGAATGACTCAAAACTAGCTGTATTACCAAAAACTCCTATCTCATCTATACATGTTAGCACCTTCTAAGTCCATGTGTAGCTGGGAGGGTTACATGTGGCTAGAGTGGGAGCAGAGCAGAGAGGAGGGATGAACTCTCAGGTGAGTCTGATGATATCCCAACCCCTCTATAAGGGCAGAGTAATTAGGCTGATCTCTCTCTCTCTCTCTCTCTCTCTCTCTCTCTCTCTCTCTCTCTCTCTCTCTCTCTCAATGTGTTTATGGGTACATGTTCATGCCACAGGGTGTGTCTCGGTCAGAAGACAGCTTTTGTATTGGTCCTTGCTTTCTTTGTTTGAGAACAGGCCTCCTGTTTTGTTATTATATACACCAGGATGACTTGCCCACAAGCTTATAGGTACTCACTGCCTCCAGTCTCTTTACAGGAACTTAAGATTACACACACAGCTACTGCAACTGGGATGCTCTGGGGGATGTGAACTCAAGTCCTCGCCCTTACACAGTACCTGCTTTATTCACTGAAACATCTCCCTAGCCTGATAGGCCAATGTGAGTCACAGTCACTGTGATTTCAAGATCACAATAGCCATGTGATTCACAAAAGACCGAGTTCCACAATACAAATGTTTGTAGACTTCTACATCCAGCTGTGGGAATATATCCATTTTATTGATGAGGAATATGAGGCCTGGCCCCTGGCTGGAAAGCTGTCTTACCAGGCCACATCTCACTCCCTGGCCTTGCCAGGTCACTCAGCTTGCAGGGCTCTATGTGTCACTGCTAGCCCCCTGGGAATGACTAGGCAGTGGTGAGATGATGGTTTTCCCAACAGAAATAAACTCTGGTTTCTGATTTGCTCCCAGTGATACCTTTTAGTCTAATCCCCCAAGGCCTAAAACATACCACTCTTCAGAGGCTACAAGATGGAGACAGGGATGCAGAACAAGGAAGAGGTGTTAGTAGCCGACCCATCCCTCCAGCCCAGGAAACTGTTTTTATCTACCTATTTTTGAAGACTGTAAGGGAGAAGGTAATGGGAATGGCTCACTCTAGACCCTGTGAGATTCTGAACTCTGACAGCAAAAGGCAGTACCCACACCTACCAAGCTACTAGGTCCAGCTTTCGAGCCATGCCCCTCTGTCACTGTCACATGGCTCCTCACTGTGGGGATAGTTTGCCACCGCTCTTACACCTTCAGTTTTCACTGTTGGACAAGGTCATTTGAGAGAATCCTCTTTGCTGGCTTGGCTTGCTTCATATTGTTGATACAGGTATTTAATGGGCTTTGCCTATTGAACAATTCATGTAAAGGTCGGTGAGTAATTTCTACCTCACTTCTTTTCATCACCAGCCCCCCGCTTGGACAATTCCTTGGTAGCATTCTTTCCAAAGAGGTGGGAGGGCTGAGGTCACAGCCCTGCTGTCTCCTGGCAGACACACTTTAATTAGGTTGCTAAATTAGCAGAGGCACTGGCCATTCTTCTCTTGTCGCAGACCCCAGGTCTAAGGCTATCTTTGAACTTACCATTTGTGAGCTCATTGGTTTGCTTTCTCTCAGAGGAGCAGTACTGGGCAACTGGAGATTTTCCTGAAATAATTTTAGCAACCCATGAGTGTTTTCTATCCGGAACAAGGTGCTCTTGGGCTGTGTGTGTGTGTGTGTGTGTGTGTGTGTGTGTGTACATGGTATGTTTAAATTTGTGTATGAGTATGTGCATGCATGTACCTATGTGTATGCATGTATGTGTGTATATATGTGCATGTGAATGTATATGTGTGCGTGTGTATATGCATATGTGTATGTGAATATGTGTATGTACCTGTGTGTATATGTAGCTATGAGTATGTGTGTGTGTTTGTATGTGTGGGTGTACTTGTATTTGTGTGTATGTGTGTATATTTGCATGTGTGTGTGTGTGTGTGTTTGCGCGCGTGTGCGTGTTGAGCACACGTTTCTAAGTTTCTCCCAGGCACTGAGCCAACCTCTTAATATGGATTATCTCATTTCCTCACAAGGCTTCAGTGAGGGAGGTATTGATGTCAACCCCATTTACAGATGAGGAAGTTGAGGTACTAGGACTTAAATAACTTTCCCAAACTGATGAAAGAGGATAATACAGCAGGAATGGCATGGAGCCGGGATTCATATCTGATTCTCAGTCCCACCCTGGCAACCTTGGTGTTTAAAGAGCTGCTAACAGCTCATTGGTATCACTTGGGGTCTTGCTAGGAATGTAGAGTCTCAGGCCCAGTGAATCAGAGCCTGCATCTTGCCAAGGTACCCCAGTTCATGAGCAGCATCACAAGGGATGGGAGCAGCCTACATTCAGTAGCATCACTGATTCATGTCCTGCCCTGATTGCAAACTACCATCAGCTCGGGAGTTCAGCTCAGGAAGCTGAGGTGTAGAGTGGTCAGCAGCCATTCTGACACAGACTTCATCCATAAAGAAATGACTATCTCCATGCACAAACCAGGATGGGAACAATTGGCTCTTCCCAATGTGGATTGGAAGCACCCTAGATAACTGCCAACCTGATGGATGACAGAACCTGACTGTCCCCTTTGTGATGCTTCTACAGATGTCCAGCATATCAAGAGGAGAGACATCGTGTTGAAGAGAGAACTGGGTGAGGGAGCCTTTGGAAAGGTCTTCCTGGCTGAGTGTTACAATCTAAGCCCCACCAAAGACAAGATGCTCGTGGCAGTGAAGGTAAATCCTGGGGCACATGGGCGACCAGGACAGGGCTGGTGGTATTCCTGTGAAGTGGAGGGCCATTGAGAAGGTGGTGTTAAACTGGTCTCAAAATCCATTAGGGACCCTTGATCCAGAGTTGGTGAAAATTCCCATTGACCAAAAACAACTTTGGTTCTAGAAGTCAAGAACTGCAATATGTAAGGGGGCTATGCCTGGGGACAACATGTGTCTGTGAAAGGCTCTGACTGATTAGAGAGCTTTAGATCACTGACTTCAGTGATTGTTCATATGCTGTTTGTCTACATAGGCATTTGGACATGTCTCAGGACCAGAGCTGGATGAAAAAGGCTGTCCAATGAGTCAGAGGAATCCTATTTCAAAGATACTAGCCATCACAGGGAACAGAAGGATATAGGGTTGGGCTCATGACAGGATTAGCACCTGGAACTGGTGGGTAACGTTAGGATGCATTCTAAAATTCCTGCTGTGACATTTGAGCTTAGACTCTAAGAGGCATGCAGAGGGTAATTGCAGTTGCAGAAGGGTCTTTAACCACAGGACTGTGCACCACTGAGGATCCAGGCAAATTTGCATCTGGGAAGAGATTGTTGGGAAAGTGAGGAAGGAGCTTTACTCCTACCAGTTGCCTTCCACCAGCCTGATTCAGCAGAAGGCCTTCTTTCTGCAGATTTGTGCTGGACAGGTTTTGACACATTTACTAAACAAATGTCAAATGGACTCACTGAGGTCTGGAACCACACTATAGAGTCAGGAGAATGGAGGTGTCTCCTTTCATGCACCCAACATGTTCTGAGGTCATTGTGGAGTTTGTGTGATGTTCTGAGATGATAGATGATCGTAGAGATGGAAATGAGAGACATGGCCACCGAGGAGGACACCCATTAGGACCTCAGAATGACTCTTTTATTAGTACTGAATAGCCTGGTAGAAACCCCATCATGAAGGCAATTTGTGCTTCTTTGACTTTTGGGTCTCTGTGTCTTCAGTCATTGGTATCCATCTGTAGGTTATCCCTGCTCACAGATGGTGAACCATCTGACAGATACAGTGTGGTTGAGGGCACCACCTGGCATGGGCATCAGAGGGAGAGCTTGGATACAAATCTCGAATCCTTCCCTGATCAGCTGCATGACCTTGGAAGGAACTTAAGGTGGGCTTTAGTTTTCCACTCTGAGTAGCAATATCTCCTCAAAAATGTTGATGACCGAATAAATACTCAATACAGAGCAGCAATTGTCTTTAATAACTGCATTTATTCCTGATGTTGACAACACTGATATTTTTAGGCACATCATGCACAACCCATGGAGCTTTTATTTACTATGAAGTGTGCCAATTTTTTTTTTCTTTAGAGGACCAGAGACCAAATCTAAATATTTAAGTGATGAGGCTGTGTTCTGTTACATCTCTCAACCCTGCTTGTGCAGTAAGAAAGCAGCACAGATATCACATGAACTAGCTTGAGTGGCTGTTTTCCAAGACAGCTATTTTACATAAACAGGCATAGAGAGCGGATCTCTGGTTTTTTTTTTCAGTTATTATTTTTTCATTTTACATACTAAACCCAGTTCCCCTTCCCTCCCTTTCTTTTTCCCCCCACTTTACCCCTTCCCTACCCCTGCCATCCACTCCTCAGAGGGGTAAGGCCTTCCTTGGGGAGTCAACAAAGTCTAGCATACCAAGTTGAGGCAGGACCAAGCCATCCTGCGTTTAAGGCTGGGCAAGTTATCTCACCATAGGGAATGGGCTCCAAAAAGCCACCTTATGTACCTGGGATAGGTCCTGGTCCCACTGTGAGCCCCCCCACACACAACAAATCAAGCCACATAGCTGTTACCCACATTCAGAGGACCCAGTTTGGTCCCATGCAGGTTCCCCAGCTGCCAGTCCATAGTCTGTGAGCTCCCACTAGCTCAGATCAGTGGTCTCTGTGGTTTTCCCCATCATGCTCTTGATCCTCCTTGTTCCTCGTCCTCTCTTCAACTGAACTCCAAGAGTTCAGCCAAGTGCTTGGCTCTGGGTCACTGCATCTGCTTCCAACATTTACTGTATGAAGGTTCTATGATGACAGGGTAGACACTAATCTGATTAGGTGAGTTCAGGCACTATTGATAGGAGTCTTAATGGGGGTCATCCTTTTGGATTCCTGGAAATTTCTCTAGCATCACATTTCTCCCTAACCCCATAATGGCTCCCTCTGTCAACGTATCTCTTTCATTGCTCTGCCCATGTCCCTTCCCCAACTTGTCCTTCTCAGTCCCCATGTTCCCATCCCCCTGTTCTGAAAATAAGTACCTACAATATTACTCCACAGAGGGCAATTGATTATTGTTACTGTATGTTCTAGGGAATAACTTGAGTGTCTTGAACAAGGCTGTGGAAAAGTTTCTGATTTTGTCCTTAACCTTTGTGTGTGCCCTGCTCTGTTATGTTTAATGAGTGGAATGACACTCATCTACTAGCTGTACCATTGTCTATCTGGGAAACAGCAAATGAACTGCCTTGGGAATTTTACACAGGAGATAAAATAGTGACTGAGACTCATTGGTCTCAGTCAGGTCTGTGGAGTCTAGCAGAGAGAGGCACTTGCCAGAATGCATGAGGCAAAAACAATGTGTTTCTGGTTGCATCCTTTCAAAGGGTCTCCTTCTCCACAAGAGTCTGGAAGGCTCAAGAGTGCTCTGGAATTTGACACCATTTGTCAAGCTATGGAACCGCCTAGCCCAGCCTGCAGCCCTCAGAGAGTCTTGTGTTCTCCAAGACCACCCAGAAGTTCTCTGCTCTCAGTACTTTCTGTGTTCTGAGACTTTTGCAGGCCTTCCTCTTGACTCTTCTGATATTGATGCAGGCCAGTTCTGTACTTCTGGAGGACACTGGCAAGCATAGACCAGGATTAGGTTTCCTCAAAACTGGGTGTGCGATTTCAGTCTGTTGCTCCTAGGCATACAGGGGGACAACTTCTCACAAACAGCAAATATCTTAAGACAGGGCCATTTGTGCTAGCACAGGCCTGTAATCCCAGTACTCAAGAGGCTGATTTAGTAGGCATTAGGATAGATAGATAGATAGATAGATAGATAGACAGACAGACAGACAGACAGACCAACAGATAGATACATAAGCAAATATTTGCTCATCATCTAGCCATGCAACATGCTACAGAGAAATGACTGTCTTCTTGGTTATCATATAATTGACAGGAAGCTATAGCTCACTGCTGCCACTCTCTATCTTAAGAGAGAATTGAATCACATTTAATAGCCTAGGGAAAGGTTGAATTCTAAACTCAAAATCAGATGTCAGGGATATATGTAATACAATTCATAGTTTAAAACTGGTGACATCACTTTTGAATAGTCATTTACTACCCAGTCCAATTACACAGCATTGGCACCCAAGCAAACTTCTTGCTTGGCACATAGGAGACACTTTCCTATTTTATATATGTGCATACATATACACACAATATACAAATATATATACATATACATAAATGTAATATTCTCTCTCTGTAGTTCTGTGTTCTATCCCTAGTGATCCTTAATGTTCTTCTAGTACACAATCCCTGACATGCACATATACTGATCATACACTTTATTTGCGTGTCTGTGTGTCATGTGTGTGCACAATACCTGAATGTGTGGGAGTCAGAGGATAGCTTTTGGGAGTTGATTCTCTTTTTCTACCACATGAGTCCAGGGGACTCAACATGAATCTTCAGGCTTGGTGACAAATGCTATTTCCCTCTGAGCCATCCTGCTGGCTTATATATACTATCATTTTCATAAGAAGCAATTATTTCTTCATTTTCTTGGAAAATGTCCTTATTCAAAATAAATATGGGCCTGGTCTGCAAGAATTAAGGTTCTTGTTTTGACAGTTTTCACAACTTGGACTTAACATGCTATTTCTTTGAATATATCTGAGCCTCGGTATTTGGATTTCTCTGGGATTTGAGGCTTGTTTTGATCTGTGTGGAGTGCTCAGAACTTCAGTTATAGTGATTCAAATTGGAGCAAGAACAGAAAGCATTTATGAAACATTCTGAGGACAGACTCTCAGGAATTTTGGGAGGAGGGGGTTAATGAATTTTTGTCATTTCAAATTTTAACACAGGATGCCTCAACTTCAGTACTATTGGCAGAGTGGGATAATTCAATGTTGGTAAGAGCTCTTGATTTCCTTGTGTAGTGTTTAGCAGAGTATTTTGGTGTCTGTCCAGTAGATGCCAGCTCTTCTTGTAACAAACAATAGTGCCTCTAACATTGCCCAGTGCTCCTAGTAGAGCATGGAGAGCACACTCAGCATTAGTTAACACACCTTCAGTAAAATGTAGTGATCTCAAAGATACTCAGGTAACTGAGCCAAGATGGGAGTAGGAGAGGTGATCTTCCCCAGAAAAGAGCATGTCCATTGGTCATCCAGAGCCAATTGACCAGCCCTAAAATCATACAGACAGTAACATTGTATGAACTCAACAGGCTGTATTTGGAAATATGTATTATGCACACATATACACACACGCACATATGCACATAATAACAGTTAATGAAAAAAGAGGGCAGGATTTGAAGGGGAGTGAGTAAGAGTGTACAGGAAAGTTTGGAGGGAGGAAAGAGATGGAAGAAAGGTTGTAATTAGACTGCAATCTTAAAAATAAATGAGAGGAAAAACAAACAAACCCTACCAAAAGCAGTGATCTTAAAAATTGTGGCAGTGTTTACAAAATACTCCACTATTATGTTTAGAATTGAGTTGCATTTTGTTTTAGATACTATTTGCAATAGTCTTGTTGACATTATCAGGCAACCACAGGACATGTGGTAAATTATTGGTAGAGCTAAACCTTAATTCCTCATGGTCTTGCTGCCACTCCTCCTTCCATAATTAAGAGGGGCTTTTAAAATCTCAGCATTTTACTGTTTTCTAAATGTTTCAGATGATTTTTCTTCCACTACTAACTGTTTTAAGTTATTTACCTTTAGGACATCCTTGCAAAGTATTCATCTTGGGGTCTGGGAAACTGCCTGTTCCCCACTCATATTTGTGTTTTGATGATGGTTCATTACATTAAGTAATCATGTGATCAAATTTAACATTCATGAATCTATTTGTTGATAGTCATAGTCAATACCTAGAGTAAACTCCTTTTGGAGACATAAGCATCTCTGTAAGTGACAAGAGTTGAGGGTTCAAGGTCCCATGGCACCAGTCAGCGTGTTTTGCAGAGTTGATGGACAGTACCAGGACAACTGCCTAATTATATTTCTACATCTCTGTAGGAAGTATTTATGACCAAAAGAACATCAAGTGGAAAGGTCTTGATGTAGATAAAGGCTTAAAGGTATGGAAAGGTCAGTGATTGGATCAATAAATGAGGGAGACATGGAGCTGGGGAGAGGAAGTGAAATGAGATGGGTCCAGATGACATCTTCATTCCATGACTGTTATAAAGTTGGGATTTCATGCTGAAGACAATGGGAAATGATGACATATGAGAAAGGTGCATCTGTTTATGTGGCGACCACCCCCTTTTTATCCCGTCACTCTGTGCATCTCAACAAGGGAAATGTCAACAGATTTAGACAAACTAAAATAAAACAATTTACACAATTAAATTGTATGTGTATGCATGTGGGTATATGCTTGAACACCCAAGAGTGTGGATATTCCAGTGTGCATGATGAAGTAGGTTCCAAGATGATAATGAAATCTCAAGGACAATGTTCCATGAAGTATCTTCTTCATAGCAGATAAAAAGCAAATGGAAGGCAGCAGTTGACCAACATGAAGATGTCAGTTGTCTGGGAAGGGTTTGGGCTGCTGAGCACATCTGTTTCTACCCAATCCTAGTGTACAGCCCAGCTGAAATACTTGCTTAGGGTTGGAGTTCTCATAGGAACTGGTGCATGCCAAGGTCAAGACCAAAAGGGAAATATCCTCTACATTTTGAAGGAAAAAGAAGGCAAGGAATTAGTTTCCAGTTCTCATTGCCTGTGTATACTATACAAAGTGCCCAGCCAGGAATGTCCTCAATTTCAGGCTCCATAGAAAGACCCTCTTCTCTATGCCAAAAGTTGGTGGCTATGATAAGCATCAACTCTGTTCTATGCCATTTCGTGGTGACCCATTTTACAGTTGCTGAGCAACCAAGGATGTATTGGATATAGAATTCCATGAGCAGGGCCAGAGAGCCTTTGGCCCAAATTCACTCCCCATTATTCTCCTGTCATCTCTGTTCCAATTGCATTCATCCATGGGGACTGTGACCACTGACAGCTCTGACCCCCAGTTGCTACACCCCTCACTCTGACGGTTACATAGGAACTTCAGGTTTGACCCACCAGCTGGAAAAACCAGCTGGGAAGAGGGAAAGGGTATGGAAACCCTGGAGACAGCAGCTGCTTTGTACTCCTTCTCCCAGGAGGAACTCTGTCTGCTTATATCTCAGGGTGCCAGCCTGAGGGACAGACCCTGACTGCTACTGCCCAAAGGCTGAGAACAGAAATATCCCATGGCTGCCACTGATGTCAGAGCTGTGGGAGAGAATGATTTAAAGAGATGGAGAGAGGCCATTTGGCTGGCCCCAAATCTGATCTACTTTTCTCTCCCATAAATCCAGTGTTCACATAAATCCTCATACTCTCCCAGCTCACCCATGCTGGGTTCCTCTTGTTTTTTTCCCCCTTCTTCCTCATGAAAATAAATGATTCAGTCATCTCATGCCCATGTTTTACCTCTTGTAGCTCAAGGCTGTGGCAGAGAGGTGGGTCATGAGAGAAGGTTATTTTCTCCATGACATTTTGGCTGGCAAGCCTTTGTTCTGGTATCAGGTGGCCATTACAGATACTCCTATATTCATAGGTATCTCCCAGAGCTGAAGCAATCATCACATCAAATTATAGGTGTTGGGAGCAGGGGCTGTAGCTCAGTTGGCAGGAGTCTTGCCTAGCATGCACAACACCTTGGATTCAACCCTCAGAAGTGCATAAAACCAAATGTGGTGGAACATGGTTGTAATCTTAGGACTTTGGAGGTTGAAGTAGGGATTCAGGGTCATTGGCTATGTAACATAAAAATCTATCAAAAAATGAATTAGGTCTGCTAAATTATAATTTGGTCTAGTAAACGTGACTTTCAATATTTTTGTCAAATTGAAAACTTTTTTGGTGAATTCTTTTAAATTTTCCAAACAAGGGAAGGTGATGCTGGTTGAAGTTGGAGTGGGGCTTCAGGCAAGAAGGCCACACTTGTTTTGTTGACCCTGGAGGCATTGCTAATGAAGTCTGGGGTATTGTGAATCTCAACAAAGGATCATGCTTGGGCCCACTATGCTGCCCATCATTTAGACAGTTATGAATGTGGTCTGGTTCTCACACAGACTCAGCCTTAGTTTCTCCAGCTATAGAAATGTGCAGCAGGGAACTAAAGTGATGCATAGCCTTTCCATGCTAAGTACCCATCATCCCTAACGTGTAGTGGTTACTGAGAAGTTGGAGAGGCATATTTGGTACATCCTTTGGGGGTTCATGCCACTGCAGTTTGAGAATTCAAAACAATTGGCAGACTTCAACCTTTGGAGCCTCATCAGATGGAGGAAGATCTCTGGCTAGGGAGGCCTTGCAAAACTTTCATTGCAGACCATTTTTTTCTGAATTACAAGAAAAGGCCAAACATCTAGCCAAGAGAGTGCAAGCCAGTCTCTAGTCACTTTAGAGTCTCAGTGACCTGAGATCAGCTGTGGTTTTATCCTTACTTCTTGATTACTAAGTGGCCATTACTTGGTACATCTTCCTTATGACCTTAAGGCAATTACAGGAGGTTCAGAAATGTGTGGGCATACCTTCATAGGTTTCTCTTCTCTTCTAGCATAGAGCTTTCCCTTGAACAGACCATCCTTCATCTTGGACAACATCACCCATCCTCACAATGGCTGTTCTAGATTTTTTTTTTTGTATGTGTGGTTTTGATAATAATCATGGTGATGAGAAACAATGAGTGCAGGAAATGCTTTACTTCATTTTCCATCATGGAAGGCAGGGCAAGAACTTAACTAAGGAAGCAGCTTAAAGTAGATACCATGGAGAATGCTACTCACTGGCTTGCTCCTAAGCTCATATGTGTATTTTCCTTATAAGACCAGATACCCAGGGATGGTACTACCCACAGTGGTCTGGATCTTCTGACATCAATCAATAATTAATAAAATGCCACACAGACACACCACAGGCCAATATGATGGATGCAATCCCTCACTTGAGATCCCCCTCTTCCTGGGGGTGTCAAGTTGACAACTGACATGAACTATCACAGTTGTGCTCTGTTCACTGTCTCTTGTATGCACTAGCCATGTTTGGTTTTGGAATCACATTCCCTTTGTGATACTGAAAACCCCACCTTGGTGTTATATGCACTTTTTGCTGAATTCATCTTCATGGAATAACAAATGGTGAGGTCTGTACTTCTCTCTTGGTAGGGTGCTCCCCCCCATTGGCTCACTACCTCCTCCTGTGCTGACACTTGGTAGCTGCTAGCCTTGTCCTTTGTGCATAAAGGCTTCCATCTGTCATCTACAGACCTATCTTTCCCCTAGAACTTCCGCTAAATCTTTGGTTGGAGAACATAGTGACAAACCAAGTGCTTATTCTCCTCTGTCAATATAGTCTTTCACCATTAAAAGGACTCCAAAGGATGACATCATGACATTACCTGACTTCTGGAATGTGAAGTGATTTACAAAGATAAAGCAACTGGAGTGATGCTGTTTAATTTTACTGTATTATTGTTTATAAAGGGAGATATATGAAAAGGGTCTTCCATCTCACAGCTTTGTCCCCTGTCATTCATACTGCAGGAAGCTTGTGGATGGACAATAAGCTTAGGTTGAAGTCACTGGCCAGAGCTTAGGATGTGGGCTCTCCTTTGTCAGGAATCAAAACTGCTGAATGAAAAAGAGCTTCAGTGGTGTGCTTTGCCTTTATGTTTTAAAATAGATCATATTCATTGTGGGCCCAAAAGGATGTGGTAGCAGGTTTCACCAGCTGGAGAAGACATCTCTCTGTAACTTGGTTGCTAAAAACTGATGTCTGCTTCTCAGGCCCTGAAGGATCCCACCTTGGCTGCCAGGAAGGATTTCCAGAGGGAGGCTGAGCTGCTCACTAACCTGCAGCATGAACATATCGTCAAGTTCTATGGGGTGTGCGGTGATGGAGACCCACTCATCATGGTCTTTGAATACATGAAGCATGGGGACCTTAACAAGTTCCTCAGGTAATCAAGAATAAACATTTGCCCACTTCAGTCCCATTGAGCTTTGGGGGGTTTCTCTGTGGTCAGAAGTCATACTTGCCACTGTGAACTCAAGCCTGAGATTAACAAATGGAAAGCATTGTACTTCTTTTCCTTCTTCCTTCTTCCATCTTATCTATCATCCATCTATCTATCCATCCATATCTATCTATCTATCTATCTATCTATCTCTTCTGTCTCTATTTATATCTATCGTTTATCTTTATCCATCTATCAATCTCTATCTAGATATCTACCTACATATATATATATATATATATATATATTCTATCTCCGTATGTATGTATGTATCTATCTATCATCTATCAATCAATTTATCATTTATCTATCTATCTATCATCTCTACTATATCTCTCTAATCTATTGATCTATCCATCCATCTATCTATGTTCTGGGATATAGCCTGTGAAGATCTCAGGTTGAGACTCACAGCCCTGGTTTTAGGGTTACCTGTTCTCTTACCCCAATGTGGCTAATAGCTTACGTATCTCACCCAGTGAGATTAGTGTGTTATAGCCTTAACCCAGCCTAGAGACTTTTTTTATGATGAATGTGAAGTTATCAAATTATAAACTCATTAGAAAGCAGAGGTAAATTGATAAAGAAAGGGCATTTTGTATTCAGGTAAATTCTACTTGTCAGCATTCAGACTTTGAGAAAGGAAAGGGAAGAGTCAGACTTGGCAAGAGTCTTTAGATTTCTTATGAGTCATATTTCCAAATAACTTCCCTGGAGATACTGAGAAAACTCACTGGATTCTCCAAATCTCTGGAACTTGAATTCATAATGAAGTTGATTCCTGGAAAACTCAGTCCTTAACATAAGAGAGATGGGAGTTTACCTTAATTATAAATGGATCAAGTTATGACTGCTTCATGGAGTTGTTGCTAGAAGTATTGCATGGCAATGTGCATTTTGTATACAGCAATGTACTGAACAATGTACTGTAAAAGTAATCACTACTATTATTGCATTATAAAAGCTATGAATCAAGAGCATCTAGGTGATGCCTATCTCAGTATGCAGAATCTCCCTCACCTTGTACTTCCACTCCTCTGCCCTATTTTACATTGTAGTACATCTTCCAGAGATACAGCTGACTCTCCAGTCCCAAGTGCAACCAGAAGAGCTCCCAGCTCCCGTGCATCTCTTTATACCAAGGAAAACTGATGAATACAAAGCAGAGGAGAGAGAAAGTGGGAGAAGCAAGAGTAAAGACTAGGGCAGGAGAAATACAAAGTAATAAGAAAAGAAAACACAAAACAAAAAATATTTTCTTACATTGTGACTGAATACTTGACAAGAGGCCACTTAAGGACAGGGGGGTTGATTTTGACTCACCGTCTGAAGGGATGCAGTTCATCACAGTGGAAGACATGGTGCTGGCATGTGAGGTCATATCATATCTGTACTCAGGAGTAAGAGAGTTTGGACCAGAAGGAGTTTGGATTATTAACTGTAGGATACCCCCACATTAGTAACCTACCTTCTCTACCAAGGGTTTGCTTCTCAAGGGTTCCTCGCCTCCTAGCAAAGCTCCATCAGTAGAGATCAAATATTCAGACACATGAGTCTCTGGAATCATTTTATATTTGAGCCATAGCAAATACACATGGCAAGAAACTGTGTCTTGACCCCAAGGATCATTTCTGCCTGTTAGCATGTTTCCTGGTTGACAGAGTTTGGGACTGGTGAGAATATGTCCTGGTATACTGGAGTGTACCTGATGCATCCTTGGCTAGCTGATGCAGCTATTTTGCTAAGGACGGAGGGGGCTAAAGCTCATGCAAGATTATAAATGGAATGTGTTCCTATTTAATGGTGCCTTTCAGTAGAAATTGGAGAAGCAGTAAAGCAGGCTGGGGCCTCAATGTACACCAGGGCTCATCGGTCCTTCACTTCATAAATAAGGGCCCCAGGGTGTGGTTATGGCTCATTGGGCTTTCTTCAGGAAAGAGTGAACACTAAAAGTGACCGATCCAATAGGGCAGGGTGTTATCATAACCCAGGCAGGCTTGAATTTAGCATGGAGTGGAGTATTGGACTCCCAAGGAGTCAGAAGGTTTCTTCACTCTGTCTTGCTTTTGGTGTTGTGGATTAGTTAGGCCTGTGGAGCAAGCCTTATATCACTTACAGCTGGGGGCTATGGACTGCCTGTCAGGTCCATGGGCACTAGGAGCTTGTCAGAATGCAAATGAAGGAACACTGCATAACCAATCAGAACCTCAAGGGGCGAGCTCTTAAGATCTCTTTAAAAATCCTTCTTGATACCCCTTTTGGCAGCTTCTACAGGACTCTCCCTCATAGTCATAGATAATAATTTGCAATTTGTCTCTGAAATATCTAGGACTTTGGTTTAGCCTTCTAATCATTTTGTGTCTCAACATAAAAAAAAAAATCAGGGTAGGAAGATTAAATGTATGTATTGAAAGCTATCAGAAAAGTGCTTGTCATATACACATAATAAGGGTCAGTGATTATTTTATTAATTATTCTAATCACACCTGGGAAGAACCTAGGTGGTAGTTAGTGAAAGAGAAGGTTTGTTCCCTGTTCTGTGTGAGTACATCTGTGTTATCTTGGTGGGGATCTTGTAGTTACTCTCATAACCATGCTCACTTGGTATAATTTGGGTAGATAGAAACAGTCACAGGTAGCCTGGGAAGGGGATTTCCTTCATTTATGCATGACATTCCAGTACACTGAAAACCACCAAGACTTTGCCTTTGATCTGTTGAGTTCTCTCTGCTCCATTTCTCCTCCCCCCTTTCAGGGCCCATGGGCCAGATGCGATGATCCTCGTAGATGGACAGCCACGCCAGGCCAAAGGGGAGCTAGGGCTCTCTCAGATGCTCCACATCGCCAGTCAGATAGCCTCGGGCATGGTATACCTGGCCTCCCAGCACTTCGTGCACCGGGACCTGGCCACCAGGAATTGCTTGGTTGGAGCCAACCTACTGGTGAAGATTGGTGATTTCGGCATGTCCAGGGACGTCTACAGTACTGATTACTACAGGGTAAGGAGACTTTCCCAGTTGCAGGACTCAGTTGCTGAGCTAGTTCCTTGCTTACATGTCTGTCATTGTCCATTAACCCTGTCACTATGGTGCACATGTATGCACACACATGCTCACATATGCACTCAACAGTTATCTTTCTGCCACTCCTACATCTTGGCATATCAGCTTATTATCATGGCAGGCCATTCCTCCTTCCTCTTTGACATTAGGCTGGACTCTGTCTATACATTGCAGTAACCTGAACATTATGTTCTTACTGAATTACTCTTCATTCTTTATGAAAACAGAGTTGAATGTCTATAGCTGTATGTTCAAATGCACACTCAGACAGTCTAACTTGGTGCTATGTCAATATTCCAACCTATCCCCTGCTCTAGTCTAACTCACAACATGTTTTATTCTCTGAAATTATCTCATAATTATGTGAGAGTAATGTCGTTTCCAAAGGTAGATCTTTCTGGAAAGTGGAACCTGAAGTAAACTAGAAGTTTACATTGTTAACTTTGTTAGTTAGTTTGTTAGTACATTGCTAAACATAATCCCACTGGCTTTGAGAAAATAAGAAAATAAAGCATATTGTCAATTTCTGGCTATGGGAAAAGCATGACCCTAGAAAAAAGCTGATTGTGAGGAAGTTTCATTTGCATATAGTTATGTTTCTCTTACTACAAGATCTTATTTTCATTTGTGAGGAATCTTCTCATCACGGAATATTGAGTTTTTCTATATTATTATGATTATAGCAAGGTTAAAGGTGAGTGGCCATGAATGTCACTTTTCCTAGAAAAAGAAACCTGGGTACAACTTGATGCCTGCAGATGGGGTCATGTCTGCAAATTGATTGGGACATACCTCCTTCTGCAATAAGGAAGATTTATGTTGCCCATAGTGGTAACTCACATATAATCTCCAGAGTTGGGAGGTTGAAACAGGTGGATGTAGAGTTAAAGACCCATCTACACAGAGATACCTTGTCTCAGGAAAAAAAAAGAAGAAATGTTTAAATATAAAAGACTTATTTTAAGCATTTTGACTAAGGAAGAAGTTTAGATTTGTGTTAGACAGGATAATATTGTAGAGCAGAGAAAGTCCTCATCTGTGACACTTGAATAAAATACCAGAAACCATGAAGCTTATGGTAATGCAAGAAAAGATCTCAAATTTCCAGAGGCTCAGGTAGCTTCCATGTCTGGGGAAGGCTAGCTCTATAGTTCATAAATGGTCTTCTTGTTGTATTTTCCTATGGTAGAAAAGGCAAAGGGTGTCCCTAAGATCCCTTCTGTGAGATCACTAAATCTAATGAAGACTAATGATCTAATGACCTCTAAAAAATTCTACTTACAGCCTTGCTCCTAATATCATTACCTGCCCATTTTTCTTCTATGAACCAAATGTTTGTTTTAGCTTGGGGGCTAAGGAAACATAAACAGTCAGTTCATATCAGGAGAATAAACAATAAACATCAATTGTCTAGTCATGTTAGGAAACAGATGATCACATTGTGAAGTATGGTGATCATGTTGCCTGAGCTTTGTAAACCAGGAAGCTGTAATTTGGGGGTAACAAGCACATATATACTTGTTAGATTTACTTGGATGCTCCTGGTGACTTTTTGATGCATGATTGATCACTCAGGTATGGATACTGATTACCCAAGGAACTTCAGTTTAGTAACAGTATAGAAGAAAGTACAATGTTTTAAAAATGCCCTTTATGCCTGCAGGGTGTCTTACATGGTTCAACCAAAAGGATGGCAAATGATGTGCTATAATGAGCACATAGGAGACAAAAATAAATCAAAGCTGGAGAAAGCAAAGGGTCCCCAGCAGACCTACCTACCTACCCACCCTACCAAGTATCTCCAGATACAGGAAAAGAGCATGGTGTAGCCTAGACAGAGGTTGATGGTCCAGAGATGACCTATTGGGATGTGCCATAGCATAGTCATCAGCATCTGGACCCTTCTCCCCACCAGGCACATACAAAGCAGGTTACTAAGCAGATGCATGGGTCACAGAACCTAGTTGAAGTCATTTAATTGCTTTCCAATCTATACAATAGTGTTTTCTGTCTTGCCTGGCTAAATTCAGATCTACAGTGGTGCTGATGAAAGTTTTCTGTTTGTTCTGTTCAGGGAAGATTATTTAATTATAATTTGTCGGTCTCCATGGACTCTACCAGGTCTTTGGAAACTATATCAGACCAGAATATAGGAGCTGAGCTTTGAAACTGGCTTCTTGGGTTGCATTTAGTATTTCTTCTTTGGTTTAAAGGTTAAAAAAATATTAAAAAAAAAGAGCATTATCCAAATGATATGCTTCAAGTCTTGCTTTAATAGTCATTAGCTTTACTCTTACTCCTGGCAAAGTATCAAGGAGTAAACCCATTTCATTTCTTTGGGGGTCAGGACAGATTTAAGGAAATGAGGTCAATGGGAATTGTCTACATTCCAGGTATCTTGAATTCTCTCTTCATGAACCCCAAGCCAGGCTGTTAGTTGAGGCTAGATGACTTGGAAATGTGTGTCTTTGGTTCCAAAGAAGTATGAAATAGGTTTGAGGAAGGATAGCTTTGAGTGAAAGTTCAGGGTTGCTGGTGTGTAAATCTCCAGTGGCAACGCTCAAAAATCAGATTGGCTCATCTCCTGATAATTTTGTTTACTCCCAATGCCTTGATATATGCTTTCACTCCCCCCACCCTAAATATTTTGAAAAATGAAAGACAGGAATATGTATGCCTAAGGTCACAAAAATGTCCCTAAATTCTTAAACCCTTTAGAAGACATTGGTGTTACTAAAGAATTCTTGGATTTGGAGCTAATGTCAGCTGTGTTCACTCTCTATTGTTTAGCTACCATCAGCACCATGTGCTCACTGCCTCTGTTCAATTTTGTTATTTTGAAAATTAAGACAAAAATATTTACTCAGTGGAGGTATGTTTACGTTAAGCAAGTTAGTTTGTGAAGAGCCTGTAATGCAATACTTACTAGACAAACTATTGCTTTTACTGTCTCCTCAGCACTCCTCACACCCAAAGTAAGAACGCTGTGGAGATAGTCTCATTCCCAGATGGGATGCTTGGATCAGAAAGAGGAACTCCTGACCACTGGAAAATAAACTAGGCTCATAGAGCTGCCCCCAGGGAGTAGGATTAAGACAATCACCTTAAGGAAAATTCCTTCCCAAGGTTTCAGCTTCCATAGAAATCATGGGTCATTGGCATTGCCCTTCTTCTGGCCAGCATTTATATGATCTTGCTTCCAAATCATAGAGCTATGTCTATGTCTGAGAGATTTATGTAAGACTTTCTTGTTCAGTATACACTGGCTAAGGCCCCAAGGAATGTGGTGATTTATCAGATAGACAGAACACCAGGAAGGATGCTCTCAGTAACTAGGGTCAAATGTGTGCTGCTCTACTATCCTTGATTACTAGGACTGAGAACTTGCTTACTACTCAACTTGCTTGCCAACAGAGATAAACACAGATAATTTGTGTGTGTGTGTATGTGTGTGTTTGTGTGTGTGTGTGTGTGTGCCTGTGAGCTAGTGCTCAAGTGTTCAAGTGCTCATTCACGGGCATGTCTGTGTGAATGTATGAGTCTGCCAGCCTGGGCTGGCTTGTTCTGTGAAAATTCTAGAGGGTACACAGAAGGTCAGGAGAAGAGGCAAAGATAAGGGCCTTCTTATTTTTTCTTTTCATTTTTAATTTCTTAAAACAAGGAGACGCCATCTGGCTCATACATAAGTTGTATGCAAATGATTTACAAAGGTGAACTGCCAAATTTCCTGTTACACATTTAGATTGATAAAACAAACATGCCTGCATCAAAGCAGTGGAGCAATTTCTTTTCTTCTTACAACGGACTGGATGGCAGCCACCTTTTCCTCCAGTGGCTCATTGACGCTTCTAAGAGTGCCTGTAAATGAGCTTTGACAAAGGCTAGTTTGCAGATACCATGATTTCTTTCTTAGATCTTCAGAGAACTCAGAGAGATTGGTGATTAGATGTAGAGTTAAATAAAATTTCAGACATCCTGAAGAGGCGCAGGTTGGGACTCCTGAACAGACGAATTTTCAGGTGTGTTTATTAGGAAAGAGGGCAGTTCACTGAGATCTGGAAGGGACAGAAGTGGCGGGGAGAGATGCCTTGATCCAGAGAGCCCGAAATGGGCTCACCTCACTCTGCTGTCCCCTGTGCTTAACTTCCTGCCTGGCACTTAGAGTTAACAAAATCATGAGTGAAGGGAAATATGTGTGTTCGAGGTTAAGCAGGAAATGGATCTGACCAGATCAGGAGCCTGCAAGCAATCAGATAGGCCACTGTGAAGCTATCCTTTGGCAATCATGATCAAGCATTTTTAAAGTAAGAAGATGTAGCATTTGGGAAGAATGTCCTGAGAAGGCAGGCCAGTAGTCATCTGGATCATTGGAATCTGTCTAGCAAGCGTACTTTAGGTTTGAAGTGGAGTCCTAACAGTAAAGTAAGTCTGATAGCTGATAATATGGCACCAGGTTCAAAGCTAAGGGTTCTGGGACCAAATTCTCAGCAACTCTTGGATATGTTAAGAACAGTAATCACCAGGGTAAGATGATCTAGTGGTAGAATAGTTCATTCTATGGGAGTCACAGTACTCTTGGCAAGTATGAAAATGTTAATGCTTTTCTGTTTGAATCGCTGCTCTTAAAATTCCTGTTTTTTTTCTCTAACTATAAAATGGAACAAATGAGCTCTAACACCTTCATTTTCTATAAAGATTTTTTTGAATATATATATGTCTTAGGTTGATAAAATAGCTTAATAAACATTAATTACCATTACTGTTATTAGCACTAAAATACAAATGCCTTCATTCTGAACAAAGAATTTGCAAAGGTCTTAGCTAACACAGCTGATCACTGTAGCAAATAGGTGGAAAACACAATATTCAAACACAGATAGAAGCTCATTTCCAGGTCACACAGTTGTATTTTCTGGAGGAATAGCACTGTCTTGCAG